GGTGCTATCTGAACCCTTTCCTGTTAAATTATCAGAGAGTTTGGGGCTGTTGGGAGTCTGCAGCAACACAGGTGAAATGGTCATAGGGGTGCAAGTGGGAGAAATAATAGAGGAATAATCTTCTGTGTATTTGGATTGATAATGGGAGTCTGGGGCAGAGACTGTAATTTCTGTGGGGTCTGGCTGAGGAGTAGTTTTCTGTTTGTCCTTGAGAGAAAATCACTATTTTCCTCCAGAAGGCGAGGACAGATTCTAGACGAGAAAAATTCTTTTAGTGCTCTTCAGCTTTCTAAAATGTTGTGGTAAACCACAGTGAGAGAGAGAATAAAGGTGGATCAGGTTGTAAGGAGTCCAAGGTCACCTCCTGAAGCTCACATAATTATTGATGATTCCCAGAAATCCTAGCAGCCCAGACTTTCTTTGTCTGACAGAAGAAGGATTTGTCCCATTTGGAGAGCAGTTTCTGAAGCCTCAGTGTTTTTACCTGCTTGCTAGATTATTCAATTTTTTTTTTCTCCCTTAGTCAAAAAATTTGCACTTGAAATGTAGATTAAGAACATTAATTAACCCTGGCAGAAGATATCACTCCAGAAACAGGGAGTTTAGTTTGACTACAGCCTGACTGGCAGTTTCTTGAGCTCTTTGAGAGCTTGAGTGGACAAATAACTCCCATGTCAACCCTTATCTCCAACACGGGGAGGTGTGAGAGGTTAGAGCAGGGTTATGTGCATTCCAGCACACCCCCCTCTCTTTAGCAGCACAGCCACAGCCTGCAGAAGGTAAAGGTTGCTTTGTGCTCTCTTTTTGTCTCCTGAGCTCGGGACACTTGGAGCTTTCCCAGCAGCAGAGGGTGAGGAGGCACAGCCCCTGCCCACATCTCCCACATCCCTGTCCTCACTGCATGATCCTCCAGGGAGCCACAGCACAGACTGCTGCTGGCTCCTCACCCATCACCAAAGCATTCACCAAAACTCGCTGACACCTGAGCTTCCCTGTGGATGTTTTTATTGACTTCAGTGCTTACAGCCTTGGTCCATATCTGAGTTTGGCCTCAGCAGAGCTTCCCAGCCTCGCTGTGCCTGGCAGCTTTGAAAGGTAAATCCTGGAAAACTCCAGAGTCCCTCTTACAAGCTCCTGGAACTTTTCTTCTGAAAGTCTCTGAAACTGGCCCTTGGGACCTGGCCAAAATAAGATTTTTCCTCTCTTCTCCCTCTTTCCTTGACCCAGGTGTCCTGTCCCTGGCAGCAGATGCTCCCTGCAGCACATTGTGCAGATGCTGCCTGGCTCCAGCGGGACACTTCACCTGGAGGGCATCAGACCCAGGATCTGAGGCTGGAGCAGAACTGGGGTGCTCACACAGACCAGTTCCCAACATTTGGGTTACTCTGGGGAGCTTCAGCTGGAGCCCAAAGCGTTTGGAGAGCAGGAAGGGAATAAATCCTGTGCAGTGAACAACTCCCAGATTCCTTCTCCTGCACCCTCCCTCCTCGGCAGTGCCCAGCCCATCTCTCCTCCTCCAGCCACAGAGACCTGAGCCAGCGGTAAACCCAGGGCTAAGCCTGGAGATGGAGTGGCAATGGCATTCCCTTCTGTTTATCCCCATCCTGATGGCACACATTCAATAGAAAAGAAGCCCTCAGCCTTGCTGGCTCTGTCCCTTCCCCCATCTCTGCCCTCCTGACAAGGTTTCCAAATAAACCTTGAAAGCCACTATCAGTTGTAAAACGTCTGATCAATGGAAGTCAGTAATCTGAAACCCTTCTCCTCCTCAAGATCTCAGAGTTTCTTCCTGAGCCCCAGTGTTTGAGCTCAGGCATTCTGGCTGCTGCTCTGCTCGCTGAGCACAAAGCCAGACAAGGGGCAGCCCTGGCTGGGTTATTCCTCGTGTTTGCAAAGAAAAGCAGCTTGCTGACTTGTGGCAAAGTGGGGTTTAAAAGGGCATCCTCACCCCGAGGGGCACGGAGGAAAATGAGGAAGGATTTTGGAGCAGGACCAGAGGGAGGATGGATGGGCTGCCCCAGCAGCAGGGACTGCCAGGCTCCAAAACCTCATCTGCTAAGAAGTCTTTTTAAAGACTTTTCTTTTTAAAAGAAAAGCATGTGGAGGGTAAATAAAGCCCGTACCTCCAACAAAGCCCCTCTAAATCCACAAAAAGTCCCTTTTGCTGTCACCTTTACAGCAGCCTGAAGGGAGACAGGGGGAGATTCCATCAGCATTTGAAAGAGGAGGGAAGTTATTGAAAGAGGTAAAAATACAAGTAGGGTGGGATGGAATAAAAGCAGCAGCACCTGACAGTGACAAACACAAAATTTACCCATGTTTTGGCATCGTGTCTCCAGGAAGAGGAAGAGCCGTGATTTTACAGTGTTTCTAATTTGATGTGGTTTGAGAAGTGTGCAGCAACCGGGGAAAATAATCTGTGGAAGGTGGGATTAGGAAATTCAGTGGAGTTATTGGATTTGTGTCTTGAATGTATTTCTGGGGTTTTCCTGTGGGGTTCCAAGGGCAAACAGAATTTTTCAGGCTCAGAGGTGGTTTCTGCACAGATATTTATGCACGCATTTTCCTTCCCTGCCAGGATCTCCCTACAACAAATGGGGACTGAGAGGTTTTCAAGTCTGGTGTCTCCAAACAATTTTGTCAACAAGCAGCTGGGATTTGTTTACATTTTAAAGACAGTCTGCTTAGTTAAATTGCCAAGTGTTACAAGTGTTGTGGTTATGGCAGTGCCTCGGGTCAGGATCAGAAATACAAAGTGCAGTAATAATGTATGTTATTCAGAAGGTTATTTACTGAGGACAGCTCACCCTGCAGTCAGTGGAAAGTCTTTCTCTGTCTTTCAAGGGCTTAAGAGCAATCATGTTCTGTACTGATCCAGTAACTATGTATAAAATATATATTTATTTGTGGTCAAACTCCACTTTTTGTGCTGCAAATTGCAAATCAAATACTTGTGCCTCATCTGGTTTGATGTGTGTTTTACATTACTTGGTGCAGACACAGGAGCTGCTTAAAGCCTTTCTGCTGTGCTTGGTCACCTCCTCAGCATTTCTCATATTGGTGAGAAGCTCTTTTAAAGATATTTTGCAGCAAATTTTCCCAGTGGAATGGAAGAATTTCAGGCCTGACAGTGAAAATCCCTGGTCTGTACAGTTTTGATCCTGAATCAGACACAAGTATTTCACTGGGGTGGTTCCAAAGGCTTTGCTGGAATCCCTCTGATTTACACCCATATGAGATCAGCATTAGGCCCCAGTGTTTTCATTTTTCATTTGTTATTCTTGGCCCTAGTGTCCTTTTACCACTGTTGAATACAATGTTCCTAAAACACCAGATGTGCTTGTGAGATGAGGGAATGTGGCAAAAAAATAGATTGCAGCGATTCACTAAATAACACATGATCTTCTTTTGCCCTGTAGTCTGAATTCTGGGCTTTCACACCAGTATAACTGCATTTATTTCTACAGGACTGTTTCTGATTACCATTGGGAAATGAAGCTGTAAACCCTTCCTGGCCTAAGTACTTAACAGGATCATTGCATTATGCTCAGTATTAGCTTGTACAGTGACTGATGCTCAGATTATTTTGTGAAAATTCTGGGTTTCAAATCACAATTTTAATATTTCAATCACTATGTTACTGTTACTGTTTCAAAGCAGTGTGGGCTTTAGAGCTCTTTCAGTACTTGCTTGGTGCTTGGAGATCTTAAGTGATGTGGGTATTGCACACAGTTGAGTTCCCAGTTATCACACGGTTTATACCAGTTAAAGCAAATCTGGCCCAGTGTCCCTTTGCTGTGGTAGGAGGGACAGGTTCAAATCTGCAGCGTGCTGGCCCCTCCAATCTCAGACAAAGCATTAATCAAGGTGCTGAGCTTTAGTGGGTGAGTGATGTGAGCGAGCAGCCCCTCTGCTCCTGAGCCCGCACAGCCTGGGGGCACAGCGGGGCTGCCTGGGGTCACCTGTGCTCTGCTGGGCTCCAGAGAGGGATGGGCTGCTACAGCCAGCTACTCACACAGCTCTACTCACCAGCTACTCACACAGCTCTACTCACTAACCAGCTACTCACAGTCTCACTAACCAGCTACTCACACAGCCTCAGAGGGCTGGGGCTCCCTCACTGATCATGGAAGTTACGGAGAGTTGTTTCCTCACGTAACAGTAAATTTCATACTTTGCAGTAATGTTTTGTTCTCATTTAGAGTGCAATATAATTGGAGCAGAAATTGACCTCAAATGGCTGCTGGTACAAAAGATGCCAGCACCTTCTGCAGTGGGGCTCCTTCTGCTGCACCCCCTGAATCTCACTGAGATCCAGCCACGGGGGAGAGATCAAACCTCTCCCTGTGTGTGCATGAGTAAAAGCACCGGGGTGCCAAGGTGTGTCCAGCCTAAAGCACGGGCTGCCAGGACAGGAGAGAGGAGGAGAAGGTGCTGTGCTTGATACCAGCCCTGCTTTGCCATAATTGACTCATCCTCTGGCAGAAAGCAGAGCTTTGTGGTAGACACCAACTGGTGGGATTACATCTGTCAGTCACCCATTGCATCTGCTTCCATGGGCACAAGGCCTTCTTACAAGGTATTCAAAATGCAGACAGGGCCAATCCTTTTTTTCTCCTAAAAAAATATTAGAAAATAGTGTTGGCAGCATTTTCCCCTGAGCCCATCTCCAACACGTTATTTAGCAGGCAATGTTTGATATGGTGGTGTTTTAAGCTCAGAAGTAAAATCAGGGACTCAACTATTTGTGTCAGTTAAAATTCTGCATCACTTTCTTTGTAAATCTCCTTGTTTTTCTCTGTCCAAAACTCCCTCTCAGTTTTATTAAGAACATGGGATTCAGTACTCTGTGCTTATCCCTTGAGTAATTCTTGCTCTCTGCCTGAAACACTGTCTCTCATCCCAGGGTGGCTGAATTGCAGTGGTGAGCAAATAATGATGTCTACAGCAAATAATCAGGTGGTGAAGAGCATTGGGTGCTTGGAGATCTTTGGCCAGAGGATACAGCACCAAGTTATTCTCTCCTTGGCAGGAGGACCTGGGGGCTCTGGATGATGGGTGAGGCGAGGAGGCCAGGTGTGCTGACAAACATAAGCTGAGGATTTAGTGACCCACCCTTCCTCCACTTTTCATATTCAGTTTTGCAGGGTCACAAAAGAAATTACATTGCTACGCATCCTTGAGTAACTTAAAGGTGTCAAAGACATAAAAAAAAATGAAGTAATCTCTGTGGACTTAAAAGTACTTCCTGTTGCATTTCCCTTGGGATCTGAGGGGTTTATTTGAGGAATGAAACCCCACATCATATCTATGTTCATGTTTAAAAAATCCTATTACTGTGATGGCCCCGTGACACAGATTTTTTTGACAGATGACCAAATACCTCTCCTCCAGAAGTGCCAAGGGCTTGATCAAAACACACTGAAAGCAATGGAAACAACGAGTGCAAGGTAGCCCCAGAGCTTTGTGTGGTTTCAAACGTCTGCCCTTTGTGCTGGAAATGCTCCATTCCAGCAGGTTACTCATGTTCCAGCAGTCACTATTCCTTTATGAAGTGATTGGGACGCTCCTCAGAGCGGTAAGCAAAGGCAAAATAAATATGTGTTATTTTCCAGTGCACCATGCCATGCTCAGTTCTGAGTGAGTTTCATGTCTGGAGAAGTGTCAGGTTGATGGCCCAGGCGCAGGCGTTCTCCTTTCATCTACAAACGCTGCTCCAGCAGCAGAACAAAAGCCTTCTCCACACTGATCCCTGACAGCACATCTTCAAATGCACACACTTCAAATGGCAGGCCCTGGAAGCCCTTGATCTGTCTGGCAGCCCCTGTAACAAAGGGGCAAATCTGTGATGGGGCTTTTCATGGCAAGCATCTCTGGCAGAATCTCGACTGGGAGTCTCAAATTGTCTCAGAGATCAGCGCTGCCTAATATTATTATGCACTGCTGTTCTAAAAATAGTTCTGATTAGATTATGATAGATAAAACCCCCCAGAAAAGGCTTAGAATGCTAACAGTTTATTTTGGAATAAACAGAATTTTTTCCTAGTGAAATCTATCATTAAGCTAGAAAAATAATTCCTCCCACAGGAATCTTTTTTTCTGTGCCCATTAATATGAAGAGTGGTTTCATTTGTTATAATTCTTACCAAAAAAAAAAAACCAAACCCATGCAGTGGAAGCCAAGAAATATGATAACAACAGCATTTCTCACAAACTTCTCCAGTATTGTGTAAAAGCTGACCAGGAGACCCAGGACACCAGGCATCTGTGGCTGCCCATGGTGTAGAGTTACAAGCTTACCTCGATCTAAGGCAAAAGAGAATCACAGTCTTGCCCAGTATGTAATCCATAGCAAATTGAAAGCATACTGGGAATTATGAGTTAGCATGAAAATGCAACCATCTTGCTTTTGGATGCTTGAAACAGGATTCCAAAATCAACAATTTATAAATAACTAACTTCATCCTGACTCACTGGAGCTTTTTTCCTTCTCATTATAGCAGAATTACTGTTTGAAGAGCAGTCCTTCTTCTTCCAAAACTGGTACAGAAAGGAATTTTTCCTGTCAGACAGCACCTGCCATCTGAATGAAAGCAGCATCCTTGGAAACAGATATTTTATCCAGGTCACCTGCAGACAGAGGTTCTGAGCCTTCTCTGCCTGCTCCCTGCTTTGGAACATCACCAGCAGATGTTTCCCCCCTCTTAGGGCTGCTGGCAGTGTGCATCCCTCAGCCAGGAGGGTGAAAACGGGGGAAGAGAGCAGAATCCCTTTACCAGCAGCTGGGAGGGAAAGATGCTGAATGAGGAAAGTTCTGTTCTTTGCCATCCCAGGACAGCCCTGCCTCCTGCCAGCTCCTGGCAACGAGCACCACGGGCACTCGCCTGAGAGCATCTCAGTTGGAGACTTTTCCCCATAATGAAGGCAAGGAACAATTCATCCCAGCAAACAGGACAAATCCCTGTGGTGCTCCTGGCCAGCCAGAGCTGGTACCCAGAGCGGGATGCTGCCGGGACACGCAGCATCTCTGCTGCTCTCAGCAGCCCAGGACTGCAAACAGCTCTCCTCTGGGAGCAAAGGGAAGAAAAAGAGAAGTTCTGCACACAAGATTTTATTTTCAGGTGTTTTTTGGCCATGCCTTGCTGTATCTGTGCTCTGGCAAACCAGAGATCCAAAGGAAAATAAAAGCAATGAGAAAACTTGACCACAGAAATATAAGAAAACAATATAGAGCACAGCTTTAAAAACAAATCGTGTTCTACAGTCACAAATTCCCTCTCAGGCTAACAGCTAGCCAGGAGTACTTTCAAGGAATAGGCAGAAAGAAATTAAATTAATTGCTATGACCCACAAGTACACATCATGTTGTAATTTATAGGTGACTAAAGACTGGCAAGCAGCACAAGGACAGCCCAATTTTCCAAGGAAACGATATAGCAGTCAGGCCTTTGATTTTGAAAATGCTTTCTGAGTTCTCTGCCCAGTGAGCTGCATGGATTTACTTCAGAGGGTTACACAAGCCCAAAAGCCTTTGAGCTTTGGACTGTCTGTACCAGAGTTCTGAAAACTTCTGATTGTTTCAAAGATCCATTTTGTTTGAAATGTTTTGTGTATTTTAACTGGTTCATACCTCTATAAAATTTCTGCTCCTTCCTCACTTCTCTCAGTACAACTCCACAGAAGTCAGTGGTGCTTGTTGTAAAAGCTGCCTCACTGAAACACCGTGTTTTTTTATATAAAAAAAAAGTTGTTTTTCCAGCAGCATCGGTATTTCCTCCTCCTCCCCAAACCACCTCACCTTTTTCCAGTCATCTATTCTTTCGACTATTATTTTAAGTACACCAGTAACAATATTGATGTAAGTTGAGGCCAAAGCGTTTAAAATAATAGAGCAGGGCAGGCGAGCTGCTAATGAGCAGCCCCACCGAGAAGGATGCTGGAACACCGAGCTGCTTTTGAGGGCTGATCCAAAGTAGAAGGAAGTTAATGGATGGCTTTATGCTTCGGGCTCCAAGATGATGGGCTGGTGTCAGGTTTTAAGAGGATGGATAATAGGCTAATTGTTCTGAATAGATAACAGCAATTTGCAGCTGGATGGGTATAATGGGGCATTCATTCCAGAATGTTTTTACATGCAATTTATTTTTTTTGTTTTTTTTTTCTCTTTATAAAGCTATTTACCAAAGAATTTAATACAAGAGAAAATTAATAATTTTGAAAGAGCTGAATTTCTTAACTGGGATATCCTACCTGCCCACCTGACAGAACACCAGACAGAACCTGACCTGGCTGATTGAGAGCAGCTCTACTCCAAATGGTTCAGGATGTAAAGTGGAGGAGCATTGTGTGCCACCTGTGCCACCTGCAGAATCATCCACAGAGACAAACAGAATGAGGAAAGACCCCTTATTTTAATAATAAAACCAATAATAGTATAAAGCAGTAGAAATTATCTTACTTGTAAGATAATTTATAAGTATAATATATAAGATTTATATATATATAATATAATATAATATAATATAATATAATATAATATAATATAATATAATATAATATAGAATATAATATAGAATATAGAATATAGAATATATATATAAATATATGAATAAATAATATATATAATATATAATATATAATATATAATATATAATATATTATATATTATATATAATATATAATATATAATATATCTATATATAAAAATCTATAATCTATATATAATTTATATAGTATATAATTTATATATTAAAATAATTTATACATTAAAATTTATTATATATAATTCTATATAATAAAAATATAATTTGTATAAATTATATATTTATATATTATATATTTTATAATATAAAATATATAAATATATAATAAATATATAATTATATCTAATAAATCTATAATTTATATATAAAATTTATATATAATATATAAGTTTAATATATAATATTTGTAAGATAATATAAAAGTATAAATTCTCTGACTTGTAAGATACAGAATCAGTGAAAATGAGGGTAATTTGATAAGCCTATGGGAAGCAGAGGCTCGGATACTGAAGTCATGAGCCCTGGCACATGCAGCCAACAGGGGAGCTCCAGCTGCAGGCCCAGGAGTGGCCGATAGCATCGCTGGGGAAGGGCTGTGCCAAGAAGGGTGGCTCCATTACTGCTCTCCCACTAATGCAAGGGATAATAGAATCACAAAGAGCAGGTCTGGAAGGGGCCTCGCTAAGCCCTTTAATTGGTTTCCTGCCCGAAGGCAGAATGAACTGTACTTATGCTATTTCTGGTAAATGTGAGTCTAACCTGCTCTCAAAGGTCCCTCTGATGGAGGGCTCAGAGCAGGGGGCACACGACACCCAAGGTGGGAAGGCAGGATGGAAAGGCAGACAGAGGTGGAAAACCAGTTGACCAGGAGGAGCTGGGTGCAAGAGCAAGGGAATGTGATCAAAAGAAGCAAAAAAAGGGGAAAAACCTCAACCATAACATCTTTAAGAAAAATCTAAAGAATGTGGAGCATAGGACACACAAGCCAGAACAAGGCTGTTTGTCAGGAATTACTTGAGGAAACCTGGAGTTCATGCAAGAGGAAGTTAGGTAAGAGGAGGAGTACAGCAGGAAAAGTGGAATCTTCACACATTTTATTATTTGATTTTTTAAATAACATTATTCTTCTCGTTAGTTAACCAGCGATCCTATGAACATTCATGCAGGTGTTACCTTGAATTCCCTGCAGATACCCAGAGCTTGATGAGCTGCTGCTGGCTGCTGTGTCTGCTACATCCATGAATAAGGGCCTCTTTGTCAGCACCCAAGTGTTTCCATACAAAGCACATTCTAGTCAAGTGTGAAAGCCTAGCTAGAGACATAAAGTTCTTTCCTGAACATCTCTCAAATAATGCTGCCACTGAGAAGCTGCTGCACCATTAGGGAGAACTTCTTTCTAAGACAAAATATTTGAAATATCCATTTTCACAAGCAATTTGCATCTGAAAACAGTAGACCAGTGTGAGATGAGGAGGGGAATGTAGAGAAAGGAGGAGAAAAAGGAGGCTGAGCACTTCACTTGGTATAAATTATCTTGCTGTCTGTACTAGATGACTCGACATTCTCCATGCCAGTCTGGAGAAAGGCTGCAGAGGAGCATCCTCAGGACCCAGGTTAGGGGCTGAATACCTCTACAGTAATAATGAGGTTCAGCCAGTTAGGCTTCTCATGTTTAGGAGAGGAGAACAGTCTCATTCTACAGCAGAGCTCAAACAGTGTGTCCAGCCAGGCTGTGGGGAGCATCCCTTTTGGCCTTTAAGGGCAAGTGACCCAGAAGTGCCCACAAGCAGTGGTGACCCCATCCCCAGCCTATACCTGAAGTGGGAATTTCCTCAGAAGAGCAAGTGCCTCATCAGACACTTGCATCCCACCCAAGCAGCACATAGGTGGCTCTGAAGAGCCATATGGCCTTTGTTAGACCAGGAGGCAGATGGAATTGGGCAGATTAAAGCTCCATAAAGAGAATTGAAGTCACAGCACACAGTGTGCGGCTGCTCATTATCACCAGACGTATTGTCTCGACACTGATTGCACACAGGGGGGAAATCTCTACAAGGTAGGATAAATTAAACAGGTTTTACTTACTAATATGCTTTTCAAACAGAGCAGAAGCAGAGAAGCTCCATTTTAGAGAAACCTTCTCTAAGTGCCTTGTGTTAAAGGGGCTGCAGCATTAACTGCAGAGCTGGGATGCACTGGAGCTGAGACAGAGATGACACAAGCTTGATAACAATGCTCAGCTCACTTCCAAGTAAAGAACAGAACCATCCTGCACCATCAGCTCTAGGCCAAATCCCAGATCCCTTCCTGGTGCAGTGCTTGAGCCTGGAATGACACTGAGGAGCCCAGAGTGAGAAAGGAGGCTCAGTAATATCCCTGTGCTGGCCTGGCTGTCCCAGATGTGAGCTCTCCCTGGAAGGGAGCTGTGCTCTGCACAGACACCATGCTGCTGGTGCCTTTGTGCAGGTGGGTGGTGCTGTGCACAGCCAGCCTCTGGCCCAGCTCTCAGGTGTTCAGTACTTTCTATGGGTGCAGCAGAATGACCTGATTAATCAGGAGAATATTAGTTCTGGCCCCTGGGTTCAGGAAGGACATTGGGACACTGGAGCATTTCCAGGGGAGGCAAGGAGGCTGGTGAGGGGCTGGGAACACAAACTCTGTGAGGAACAGCTGAGGGAGCTGGGGTTGTTGAGCCTGGAGAAAAGGAGACTCAGAGGTGACCTCATCACTCTCTACAGCTCCCCTTCCAGGGAGTCAGTGGCTGTAGTCAGGTGGGGTCGGTCTCTTTCTCCAGGCAGCACTGACAGAACAGAGGACACAGCCTCGAGCTGTGCCAAGGGAAATATAGGTTGGATATTAGGAAAAAAGTTTTTTACAGAAAGGGTGATAAAGCACTGGAATGGTCTGCCTGGGGAGGTGGTGCAGTCACCATCCCTGGATGTTTAAAAACAGACTGGATGTGGCACTCGGTGCCATGGTTTAGTTGAGGTGTTCGGGCTGGGATGGACTCTATGAGCTTGGAAGTCTCTTCTAACCTGATCATTCTGTGATATTCCTGAAATAATAAAAAGCTTCAGCAGTGAGGCAGGAGCTCTAATGACTGATGAAAGTGTAGCTTTCCTGTCTTTGTGCAACACTGAAATGTCACAGCATGTTGGCCAGCAGGCAGCTACACCGCCACAGCTCCAGACCTTCTGTCCCTGTATTTCCTAGAAAGTTTTAA